GTCTAACACGTGCTAAGTGAGGTGTTTGAGTTCAGCATATAACTTGGAAGGCTAATACAATGAGCATTGTGTTAGGGACCTCAGTGGAAGAGACTACAAGTGGTAGTTGGAAGCAAAAAATGTGCATGATGCCTTTTTTGCTAGGTTTTTTTTAGATCTCGAGTGCAGTTAGCGAGGTAGAGAGGAGACTGGCACTGAACCATCTTATTTATGTTCAATTTGGTGATGTGATTCGAGTAGTATGAGGCCTTCGCTTTAACCCTTAAAGTTTAAGACCATCCATTTTAAGTTATATGGTTGGAGCTAATGCGCCACAATTTTAGGAAACGTACGGGCTACTACAGGAGCGCCCAAATTCATCCAACTAAAAACGTTTCTACTCTTTTTTTTTCGGCGGCCAATAGCTTGGCCAAGTACTGGTGGTTTATGTTTCATGCTCATCCTTATCCTCAAACCTATATTTATGTTTTCATAAGGGATGCTGAGCCCGGTTCTCAGCACATGCTGCTCTCCACGAATACATTGGAGCTTGTGTAAAAACAAAAAGAAGAAAAAAAAAGGAAAAAAAAAAAGAAAGAAAAAATAAAAGAAAGGTCAGGGTCATTCTTATTGTTTCTGCGGGCGCCCCCAGCCTGCCAATAAAGTCTGTTCCTGCGGGCCTGTTTTCCAGTATGGGGGGGTAGAGGGGGGCTTGCGAATTGCCACGCCTTCCTGCAAGCCTCCGAGGCTGGTATCATTGCACCAACATTCTGGGACCCCCCCGCGCCCGTCGCCTTCAATGGGTTTTCTGACCCTACGAGCAGGCTATTCTAATCTCTATCCACCCTGCGGCGAATCCTGGAGGTCGGCCAGCTGGCGCACCTGGTCACCCTGATCCCCCCGGTCCCGCCCGCGGAAAAAGGGGTGCGAGGTCCAAATGCAGACATGTAGAGATGGGACTCCGGCAGAAGGGAATGGCACGTGGCGTTATTAGTGGTAGAGAGAGGGTGGGCGGGCAGCAGTAGGAGGGTAGGAGCTGGAGCAGGAGCATCAGCAGGGGAGGGAGGAAGGAGGCGAGAGGTATAGGCGCGTTGTTGCGGTCGGGATTGTGATTGGGTTCTTGAGCACGTCTTGCAGTTAACCAACGCACGAACGATTAAACCAACGAAGGCTGTTGCTGCCAACGTACGTCATTGCCGCCAGGATCATGATCTATCCGATGCTTGATCGACACGTCAGCACGTTTGGTCATCTTTTTGTCGTGCGTAACATCCAATTATTCGTGGAAGCAAAGTGACGTTACGCAGATTGTCCACGTCGGAAGCAGTACCGGATTGAATCGGACTTCGGTCCAACACCTACGTCCTACGTGCACGTCGAGTCTGTCGTGGCAGCATTCCCCGCTAGCCACGTGTAACGTGACCAAGTGGGATGTGGTCCCAGTAGACTGTCTAACAACCGTCGCGATCCTCAACCATTCCGATCCCGTTGGTTTCCTCCATCCCGATCTCGATTCTCTCCCCCAACCCGATTTCCTTCAGCATCCGAGGCGCTAACCCCCTTCTCTCTCCTCCCCCAGCTC